GGGAGTCGTTTGCGCCCTTCCTGGGGTTGCACGTGGAGGAAAGGAGGGGCGGAGGAGCCCAGCCCAGGGGCTAAAGTGGCCGCGCGCGTGGTTCCGCCGGCGCGCCTGGCGCCTCTGATTAGCGCCCTTCCTTCCCTCCTTAGCAGCGCGCGCGCGCGCAGGTGTGAGGTGAGGCGGCCGCAGCTGCAAGCAGTTGGCTGCGGTAGGGTAAAGGCAGGTGCGCGCGCGCCGCCCCGCGTCCTCCGCAGGGTTCCTTCGGAAGGGCGCCAGAAACGTCGGAAGAAGACCGTCGCCTTTTTTGACCTTGGTCAGGTTAGCTCTTTATCCTCGGGAAGTTAATTTTTCATTTCTTTCCAGCTAGCCAACAAGCCTGTTTGTGTGGAGCTGTGAACGGCTGGTCTTCCCCTTTTGTTTCCTGGGGGGCGTGTTGGTGGGTTGGGGAGGGGTTGAGAAGGGGATGGCGATTTTTAAGTTTCTGTTTCCTTGCTTTTTCTTTCTCTTGGTGAAGGTCGTTCTCTTTGCTAGTGGCTTGGGTAAAGGTGCATTTGAAAATCAGGATTTCGTGTGAACGTGTGGCTTCTGGGAGTGCCAGAGTTGTAAGCTGGTATGCAAACCAGAGGGCATATGTTCATTTGCACATATTCCAGGAAGGGCTGTAAATCTTCGGTAAGAGTGCATGCTTTGCACGTGGGAAATCCCAGGTCTAACCCCTTTGCAACTTCCAAGTCGGACTGGCAGAAGCTCTTGCCAGAAATTCTGCAGAGCTGGTGCCAGTTATTGTAGAGAAATAAAACCAATAGTCTCCACTTTGTGAAAGGCAGTGTTCTCTCTACGTGCAGAATTCCTGATTCTCCCCCCTTTCAGAATGCTGTGTTGGCATTACAGTATGTGGAGACCAAGTATTTCAGATTTCCAGAATTTTATATATATATTCATTAGCACATTGGGCAAAGCTGGAATGAGAGCTCAAGGAGGTGCACTCTAAACTTCAAAGAGGAGGCTGTAGCCGGTCAGATTGCACTCTTGTGTGAACAGCTCTCTGCGTGCAGCCCCGTAGGCCCTTTGCAACAACTTAATGATTATTTTTTTTTGCTATCGGGAATCAAAGCAAAGCAGCTAATAGTCAACATTAGCTATTATTAACTGCTGTTTGACTCAGAACCTTGAGGATGAAGCTGTTTAATGTATTCAGTGCAATTCTTAAGGACATTAAGGTTGCAACCTTGGGCTTGGAGATAAGCTTCAGTGGGGCTTCCTTCTGAGGAGACATGCTTAAAAAATCCCAAATCATCCTAGTGCTTGTCGTGCTTGCTGATCACAATATTGAAAGCCAGGAGCAGGTTTAAAATTCTGTGCGCAGATTTTTCCTTCCATCAAAAGACTTGGGTATTCTTTTAAAATAAGAGCTGAACGTTTGGGGGGAAGTTTTTTTTCCTTTTTCTTTCAGGTGGAGACAAATTCTCCCTGTGTGTGTGGCTGCACACATTTGCTTCTAGAGAGGCAAGTGTACTATTCCTATGTGCCATCTTGCTGAAATTCCTCCAGAAATCCACATTGACTTTCAGTCCTTACTGATGTTAGATGGAATCCCTTGCTAAAGGCTGCGGATGCAGGTGCGGGCTTTCCTTTAATTTCCTTTTAGGGGGAAATTATTGCAGTTAGACCTTTTGAGACTGGGGCTTTCTCAGGTCTTCTGGTTTGGGTATGGGAAATAAGCAGGTTTCTTTCAGTACAGCTGAAAATCATTCAGCATAATTGGAAGTAGAGTTCAGGAGAGGCAGATGGCTTAAGATCACAAAGAGATGAGGTTTGCTAGAGTCTTGGATTGGAGGCAATATTTGAGTGAACGAGCTTGATAGCATCTTCTCAAGTCTGCAGGAGGGCTGCGTTTAAATGCTTGGCCACAAAACTGGTGTTGTCCTTTCCAAAACTGTATAGTTAATGGGGCGTATTCTAAAGTCAAGTTCTGTTGATCTGAATTGACATTGTTCGTTAGCTCCTGAGAACAGCCTTACACAGCTTGCCAAAAGTTTTGGAGAACAACTTCACCTTCCTTCCTCATTTGCCTTTCTGGCTGGGGCTTAAATTTCATTGAAAGCAGTGAGGATTATTTAGCATCCGTCAGATTGTGCAGCTGATGAGGCAGGTCTTCTTTAAAGCACCACTCTTTCTCTATGACAGCAACATCTGATCATCCAGATGTTCCTGGACTACAGCTCTTGACCGTAGCTGACGTATCCAATAGCCAGGGATGCTGGGAGTTGCTCAGTAACAGCTGGAAGCCGAAAGGTCTTCATGCCTGTTCTTCGCTGTCTGGTAAGAAATGGTAGTCAGGGATGAATGTGAAAACACACACCCACACACCCCAAACTTTTGTGTCACATCTGCTTCTCTTGTGACACATAGCACACGTCCATTAAATTTATATCACTTCAGCCAGCATATTTCCCTCAGGATAGACTTCCTTTGTAACTTTAAATTAGCAGTTGGAAACTTGGGCCTTGAAGATGTTTCTGGATTCAAATTGAACCGCCCAATGGCCAGGCTGGCTGGGACTGATGAGTCCAACAACATCTGGTGGGCCACACATTCCCCATCATTGCTTTAAATCATATAGTAATTCTTTGCAAGGGGAAGGATATTCTTGGAAATCTGGACTCTCATTTCCCACAATCTTTGGCTTTGGAGCAGTGTTTCCCAAACTTAGGTCTCCAGCTGTTTTTTGGACTACAACTGCCATCATCCCTAGCTAGCAGGACCAGTGGCCAAGGATGATGGGGATTGTAGTCCAAAAACAGCTGGAGATCTAAGTTTGGGAAACGCTGATCTAGAGTGCAGAAGAATAACTTTAGCCAGTTTATTAGGGTTTCATAATTTTATATTGCAAAAAAATCACCTCAAACTGCTTTGTCATGGTCAACGCTTGCTGTTTAAACGATCCCATCATGTATCCTTGATTTTAGAAAAGTGGTTCACAGCATTTGAACTGCTAAAGGGCAAACTCGGAGCAAGCTCCAGAACCGGGTTTCATTACTTGTCGCCTGCAAGACTGAAATTCAGCCCAGCAGCTGTGCATTGGGAGTCTTCCAAGAAATGTTGTTTTCTGCCGCCTGTGGGCGGTATTGTCAAGCTGGCAGACCACAATGTTTAAGGTTGTAGGGTTGTGTTTGGCCTGCTCTTCAAGCAAGATTATGGAGTGCGGCTTGCCTTTCAAGTAAGAAGAGGAACCTTTCGAATGGCAAGTCCTGTAAGAAAGGCTCTCTTCTGTTGGTAAGAGGCATTGTAAGCAGAGCTACTGACACAATTTATGGGGTGCCTTCATGGCTCCCCTCCAAGCCGAAACTCAATTTTGGCGCTTCTCAGGTGGGTGCCGTTGCCATTATAAGAGAACAAGGGGGGAGTTCCGGCACCTGAGCTTGCTTTCATAATTAACCATAATGTACAAGCGAGAGCATGATGAGTAATGTGTCAATTTGCAGAGCCAGAGGAATGGAATCTTTATTTTCCTAATATAAATGGGGAAATAGCCGGTTGACATCTTCTTTTGCCTTTCAACTGGTTGAAGCAAGTGGCTCAACTTTGTTAACGTCTACGGCTGAGAGTTTGACTCATTACCCTCAACCACTCCTACAGCCTTGCTTTAGAGAAATGAATCACAGAGGAGAGGTTATTGGCTTGGCAGTGAGCAGAAATTGAAAATGCCACGTTGCAAAGAAAGCAAGCAGTCGGAGCTGGATTTGAAGAGGAGGAAATTGCCAGGAGACACAAATCTGCCTTCTGCCCACACCAAGCCTGTATTACTAAAATTAAGGTGGACCTTTGGCTCTCAGAGAAGAGGTAGAGAATAGAGGCAGATAATTCAAAGGGGGGGGGGAGAGGAACTTGTGTGTCTGTTTAAGTGCAACATGGGGACTTAATACATATGGGGAACAGGACAAGGAATTGAAAGTTCCCAAGGTTATGTACACAGAAACCTTGAACTGATAAGATCTGCCCCTGAAATGAAGCAATAACTCCAATTTGCGAGGTGCCAAACTTTTATTCTTGCACAAAAAGTTGCATTCCATTTGCAAAGCTGAACCAGAATTGGTCATCTTGGTGTTCTGGTGAACCCAGTGCCTTTTGCTCTGTTTGCCTATTGGACAATCTCCGGGTACTTTGCTGCAGATTCCGGCCAAGATTCTTACTCCCAGTTGTTTTAAAACAACGCCTGATAAAATGACCCCTTTCCTCACAAGTTGTGCTTCTGAAATTAAGAAAGGTTGGGGCTCAGTTCCGGTATTCAACACAAATTCCCGAGCTCTGAATTCTTTAGTGTGTCTTTTGCCGCCGACTCTGTTTTGGGGTTCTAGTAAAACAAGAAACCTCAAAGTGTATCCCAGAAACCTGAAATATGTGCCTCTGCCCTGTTTCTGGGATTCAAATACAGTCATACCTCTAGTTACGTTCCGCTCTTGTTACGTAACTTTCAGATTACGAACGCAGCAAACCTGGAAGTGTTTACTTCCGGGTTCGCCACACGCGCAGAAGCGATCTGCGTGATTCGCACATGCGCAGAAGCGATAGGTGCGCTTTGCACACGTGCAGTAGCGACACTCTACTTATGTACTTTTCAGGGTGCGAACGGCACCCTGGAACAGATTGCATTCGTAAGTAGAGGTACCATTGTAATAGTTTACCGGCAGCAGGCGCACCCCCAAGCAGCTTAAAATGAATGGTAGGTTTATGTTTCGGATAGCGGAAGTGGTCAAAGGTGAAATTTAAAACAAAAACGGAGAGCACCAGCAAACTAAAATAAACAATATGAGGTGATTGGTAATGGGTATTTAACTTCATTTCTGTCATATTATCCCCCCCCCCCCGCCAGCTAAAAAAATAAAATCAAGACAGGATTAATATAAAGAGAATATAACAGAACGATGACTTTTACTTAGGAGAAAATCTTTCTTAGGAAAAAAAAAGAAATGCATTTTGGACTGGGGGGTGATGAAGTATGAATATTTGTCCTCTTCAGTTGGTAGAGTGTGAGATTCTTAATCTCAGGATAGTGAGTTCGAGACCCACATTAGGCAAAAAATTCCTGTATTGTAGGGGGCTGGACTAATTGACCCTCATGGTTCCTCACAGCTCTTCAATTCAGATTTTACTATCCTTCTTTTCCCCATATAGTGGTACCTCGGGTTAAGTACTTAATTTGTGCTGGAGGTCCGTTCTTAACCTGAAACTGTTCTTAACCTGAAGCACCGCTTTAGCTAATGGGGCCTGCTGCTGCCGCCACGCCCCCGGAGCACGATTTCTGTTCTCTTTCTGAAGCAAAGTTCTTAACCCGAGGTAATATTTCTGGGTTAGCCGAGTCTGTAACCTGAAGCGTATGTAACCCGAGGTACCACTGTACTGCTTTTTAATGCATCAGCTGCTTTTTCTAAACATTGGTTTTATTGCGCAAAAGTTTAATTTTCGAATTGCTTCCACCAAACGTTTGTGTTTGAGCAACCGTTTTAAATTTTAGCAAAACTGATCGACTTGCAGCTCAGTCCAATGCATGAGTACTCGGAAGGTCTGTTAAATTCAAAGTCGTGTACATGTGATTGCAGCTTTAGTGGCCAGTTAAGATCATCACACGATTGCTACTGTATTAGTCAAGGGTAAAAAACAAATGACCTTCAGATCTGCTCAGGACTGAATTTTGTGTGTGTGCAATTATTCTGCAAGTGCCCCCCTGCATAATTAAGCATGGAATTTCCATTTATGCAGATGGATGAGGATATATGCATACTGTTGACAAAATGCATTTGGCCTTTTGCTGCACTCGGTGTCTTTGTACACCAACTTACCTGACAGCTGTGATGTGTGATGCCCATACGATTTCAGATCTTTGCAAGATGAATCAAATGTTTGGATGGGGGTGTGGGGGGGGAGAGGGTGGGACTATATGTGTAAATAGCTGAGTTGTGCAGGCAAACATTTAAACAAACATTGAGAGGCATCTGTTTCCAATTTGAAAATAATAATAGTAAATTCACCCCTAGATCAAATGTGTTCCGAAGCTCTTGAGCAGATGGAGCGAAATACCTGAATGAAAAGGTATTTGCTTGTTAAGTAATCCTATGTCTAAAAGCCGAATGAATAGACTCTATTGGTGTTTCAGGTGTAAGTCAACTTCCTAGGTTGCTGCTTTTAATATTTCTCTGTGTGGCAAGTGAGATCAATTGTCAATGACCTTGAGGATGGAAAAGAGTTGTATTGTCATTTAAAGGGTTTGAAATACCCTTTAAATTTCCCCTTACAAAAGCCGTTTTGTAGATACACTTGAACTGATGTTTGCTTTTATGGTGATGCTTGTCAGCTGTGGTGGATTTGTGTGTGTGTGTGTGTTTAAAAAAGGCTTTTTATTCTGCTTCGGCACTGCAAAATATTAGTCTTGAGTGAAGCCAGAAAGCCTGTTTTTTAAAAAAATAAATAAAATGCCAATTGAGATTTGAACAAGTCTCTCCTTTATTAGTCAGGTTTGTGTGTAATCTGTGGGTGGTACGCAGTTAAATCTTGCTCAGAGTAGACCAATTAAAGTTAATGGACCTAACATTGTTGTATTAATTTCAGTGGGTCAGCTCTGAGTAAAACACAGTTGAATACCACCCTGTACCAAAAAAACTACAAATTAAAGACACGCACATAATTTTTACATTTTGCATAATTACACCCCCCCCCCCCAGTTATAGGGATAGGTGGTGTGGAAAGCAGCAAATCTCCATGCTTAACTGGGAGTTTTGCTCAGCATTCCCTTCCAAGTATTGCCTACACGAACTCTTAAATATATCTTCTCAACCATAAGGGCTCTTCAAGGAAACGTGCAATTTTCAGGATGCTGAATTCCATGCCCAGCTCCACATTTCGCACACTTTGCTGTTTGTGTTAATGCTCTGTGAGTTTTGGTGCAAGCTCCGTTCTCTCTTGTGAGGTGGAAAGCTTCTGACATTCAGATAAATCCTGAGACTCTTGCCTGAAATTTGTAGTCTCCCTCATGAACTTCCTGTTACAATTAGGATTGAGACACATGGTATACTTTTTGTTTCCTCTTTGAAATGGCTCCTGAAAGCGTGTGACAAACTTGCCAGACCCAAGGCATGGTATTCCCCATTCCTCTTACGTTCTGCTTTGTTGTGAACGCAAAATAATTAGTTGTACTTCAGAATTTGCAGCCATACCGAGAAGGGAATTTCTCCTGCACATTCTTTACCAGCCATCGTAAAATATTGCATGCATATATGATCATGCTTTGCTGGATTGCCTGCTGAAGGTTTTTTTTTCTTTTGTCCTGCTTTGCTGATCTTTCCTGGTGAGAGAAACTGCAGTTGACAGATGGTTTTACTTGCATTTTAAGTATCCATGGCTGTTTCTCTTCTCCAGGTGAATATTTTGTTTTCCGCAAATGGTTAAACCTTCTAGAGGTTAAGGTTTCTGTTCTGTATCATTAACAGCGATGACTATTCTTTGCTTATCTTGCTTGCCCTGGGCACAAATAAATACAGAGCTTTCTTTCTTGTGAGTTTTTAACATTGCATTAAGTATTACGGAAGAAGGACCCAAAACCGAATTTTGAATTCAGTTCTGTTCTTGTTCGGTGTGTGTGTGTGTGTGTGTGAATTATCTAGATTTCTGGTTGGAATGGCTGTGTGTTTATGTCACCAGGCTACTGAAGCAGAAAGTACCCTTTTAAGCAGACCACAATATTATACCCCAAACATTTGTTTTAAAACAATGGAAGATACGGTAGTTAAAAGCAAAACAAAAAACCACATGGGTGTGCTGGAGAGCAGGGACTGATATTTTATCCCTTTCTGGAGAGAGAAATTGCCATTATGCTGCCAGTATTTGAAGACCATCCTATACTACTAGCCCAGCAGGCGTTGTTGTCAAATTGCTGGGACTCCAACATCTAATGGATTACAACTGGAGCTAGACTTCTGTAATATCTGCCAAATTACACAAACAGAAAGCAACTGCAGGCTTGCTATTCTGTCTTGCTCGACACAGATAGTTTTAGCAAGTAACGTTCAGGTTTGGCCTGCAATTTCCAAGCATGCCCTGTTGAGCTTGGGGAATGGGCAGCAGGGTTGGTTCTTAATAAATACGCTTAGGTTTCTGTGGCATTTGGCGAGGTGTTATTATTATTATTATTATTATTAAATTTCTATACTGCCCTTCATCTGAAGATCACAGGGGCGGTTTGTAATACACACAGTTTCCTGCAAGATTTTCATTTCAGCTCTTCAGACTCGGCAGTAGTGTTAATATAAACTGCGCCTTTTGTGGTGTGCAGCTGAGATTTTAAGTAGTCTTCAGGTGTGTTAATGCTATCCCAGACTAAAGAGAGGTTCGACTACAAAGCCACTTTGGGTGTATAAAGCTCTGGAAAAGGTTTGGCAGACGTCTCCAAGGACCCTGTTCTGTTGGAAGATTCAGAACAGGCAAAGGAAGTGTGCACAGCACATTGTTAAAACAATGGCGTTTGCTTCCACAATATATAGTGACTAAGCACTAAACTTGCTGGAAACTCGAAATGTGTTGCAGTGTAAGTGTATGGGAGCAACTGTCATAAAAAGTATTAATATTATTATTATTAATAATAATATTAATAATATTTATACTCCGCCCATCTGGCTGAGTTTCCCCAGCCACTCTGGGTGGCTTCCAATCAAGTGTTAAAAACTTCCCTAAACAGGGCTGCCTTCAGATGTCTTTTAAAGAGAAGATAGCTGCTTATTTCCTTCACATCTGAAGGAAGGGCGTTCTACAGGGCGGGCGCCACTACCAAGAAGGCCCTCTGTCTGGTTCCCTGTAACCTCACTTCTCGCAATGAGGGAACCGCCAGAAGGCCCTCAGCACTGGATCTCAGTGTCTGGGCTGAACGATGGCGGTGGAGATGCTCCTTCAGGTATACAGGACCGAGGCCATTTAGGGCTTTAAAGGTCAGCACCAACACTTTGAATTGTGCTCGGAAACATACTGGGAGCCAATGCTGTTAAGTACAGAACCTAGTTACAGTCCTTGGAGTTCCTGTTTGCTTTTTTAAAAAATAAAAGTTTGCTGGAATCCTAAAGGGCATGCCAGCCCTCTTTAAGTAAGGGTTTCCCAAAATTAGGATGTATAAAATATTTTGCTAATGCAGGGAAAAGTCAAAATATTTATCTTCCTAGCTTTCTGGGAGGGAAACATGTTTAAACTGGACCTGCACTGGAGGAACTAGAACAGGCACCCCCAGACTCGGCCCTCCAGATGTTTTGGGACTACAACTCCCATCATCCCTAACTAGCAGGAACAGTGGTCAGGGATGATGGGAACTGTAGTCCCAAAACAGCGGGAGGGCCAAGTTTGGGAAATGCTGCTTTAGAGTGTTTCCTGCCCCCCAAAAAGTGATAATTAGTTTGCATTGATTGAGTGTTTTGGCACTTAAGACCTTGATGTTGGGAACGGGGTACCTATGGCCATCGCAGATGTCCCTGGATTTACAGTTTTTGCCCATCCCTGACCTTTGGCCATGTTGGCTGGGGTGGGAGTGCCAACAACTCCCATCCCTGCTTTTCTGCTAAGTGAAAACAGCAAGGAGTCTTGCAGCGCCTTAAGCTAACACGTTTATTTTGGCATAAGCTTTTTTGAGCGCTCGCTTCATCAGGCATATGATATAATCCCACATTGCCAGGCATATATGCACACATGGTGAGAGGATGGAGAGGCGTTGTGGGGGGGGGGGCAGAGGAAAACAAAATGCAAAAACAGAAAGGAAGAACACAGTGATGAGTATGTAACAGCAAATTAGTGACAATAAACCAGGCTGTGTTGCTGATAACACAAACATCCTGTAAAGTCCGTAATTTCAATTCAAGCACCGGTGGTAGATATTGTTTCTGTCCTTTTTGCATTTTGTTATCTGCTGGCCTCACTCCTCTCTGTTCTCCCTTCCCTTCTTCACCCCCCCAATTTATAATTCTGTGTGTATAAATAATGCTTTCTGGTTTGGGATTTTACTTCATGTGAATTTTAGGTCTACAAAAGTCATAGTAAATGTATTAATCTT